ACAGCTGTCTTTCTGCCACACCCCTGATCTTCTGGTAGGAAAGATCTACACCTAGCCTTCTCGGACAAGGGCGAAAAATCTCGGAGGGCTCGTGTGTAAGTTGCGCACGTTAAAGATCCCTTGGAGGTCTAAAATCGATAAAAGTAGGCTTCCGCCGCCACCCGGGCAAAATTCAAAATTTCCTACCAACTAAAAATATTACGTATCCCGCGCGCTCATTTGACCTTATGCAGTTGCGAGCGCCGTAAAAACACTTACCAAAAAATAAAAAAAATAAAATAAAAGACTAACAAACAGATGAAAACACCCTTAACTACAGGCAGATACACAGACATAAACAACAGAGGGAGAGTAAAATAGGACCTACCAGTAGCGCCCTCCAATCACCTGCATGCCCCCTCCCCTTCCACGAAAACAAAACCAAACCCACCCCCAAAAATCATCTTAACACAAAAGACTGACAAACACATCAGTAACAAACAAAAACAACAAAAATAACCTTTACATAATATATTATCCATATACTACATTATACTTTCCCTTGTTCCGAAGTGGAAACAAAGTCAGCCTCTTCAGCCACAAGACCCCACTACTTAGACCTCTCTTAAAAGCCTGGTCCTCAGTAAGATGAGATGCTGGGGCTTTTTCCTAGTCTCAAGCTTTGTCTAAAAATACAATAAACAAGCCTTAAAACCAGACCTCAAGAGCAGAGCAACTATTAGTCAACACATGGCTTCTTGGACAACAGCTTGGAATCTGTAACTAGTCCAATGAAGAGCTCTTAATGGCTTTCAGATAATATGCACTCTAAGTATCACTTCTTCTGTTCCCTCAAAATACAAGATTCGATTAGAAGCCCATTCTCGACATTTTTAGATCATGCTAATCTCATAAAGGGAGGACACATTATTATACTTCATCCTCCTGTGACCATTATAATGAGAAAAAAAACTTTAGGGAGGATGTGGAAAGTGGTCGTTTGTACAAGCAACAGTGAAAACAGTTTACAACAAAGAATGAGCTTAATAAGATGTCACATTTTCACTGTTTAAAAAAATGGAAATACAACAAGAAAGCACTAAGGTTGCGATAGGTCATCTGCCCTTACCTGGCTTCCAGCACCGGTGTGTGTGTAGCTTGCTTTGAGCATGGTACCAGATCAGCTGTCGACAGCCGTCGTAGGCCATAGAGAACTCATCGTCACCAATACCACAGCCGTCCTAAACAGTAGGAACAGACACACACACACTCAGAAAAATTTAAGGAAAATGACTTCAAGCATCCAAAGCCATTCATTACATATAGAGACGTCCAATACAAAATGTATACAACTTAAACCCTTCCCGACAGTTCCTCGGACTAATAGTTCCTCCATCAATGCCTGTTGATTACCAATACACCTGAAGAGGAAGATATTTCTTTAAGCAAAATAGAAGAAATAAGTATTAGGATGGCTTGTGGCTTCTGCTATGGCCAATGAGATCAATTCTGGCAGAGAAGAATTTGCCAGATTTTGAGCATTCAAAAGCTTCATATCCACTCTTGGATATGCACAGCTTGCAGTTTCTCTCTTGGCTTCAGCATTTCCAATTCACAAAATCTCAGTCGACAGGGATCACAAATTTATACACCCCATGAGAACCATCATATACTGTCTGACAAAGTTAACTAAGTAAATGAGCATTGTAGGTTTACAAAGTGGAAATCTTATATGAGTGTTAAGCAAAAATGGTAGCATCTTTTCTTATTTCGATGTTTTTAAAAATTTCTTTTAGTTCATTATTTATCTGTCCTGTGGACTCATTTAAACTGCAGCAGTACAAAGTACAAATTATGAACAAAAAATAAAATTGTGTTGATTTAATGCCCAGAGCAACAATGTAAGATTTTTTAAGAGGCTGGAACTCCTAATTTCATGACCATCTCCAAAAAGAAACCAGCCAGATGGTAGAATTTGTGTAAAGTGCCTTTCCCAAGGGCACAATGTCAGACCGAGCTGAGACTCCAACCCGCAATCCCACTATCTGATGATTACAGGTCCGGCAGCCTAACCTTTAGGCAACTGACAACACCAAAATGATAACAAAGGATTTCAAAGGAGGAATAATTGATCAACAACCCATGGCAAAATCGCGTTCTGATAACTATTATATTAGGTTCAAAGCTGGCAACTAACGTTCATGAAAAAAAAACAAAAAAAAACGGGACCAAAATCCAATGTTTTCCCCTCATACAAAGGGAAGCAATCCATGTTAAAAAATAATCACAGTTACATCTCGCATTACCCCACTTTCCAATTATCGTAACAGAGGGGAAAGAACCTAGTTTAGGTGGATCCAAGGGGAACAACTCAAATCAAAGAAAACCAAAGATAAGACTGTTCATTGCTTTAGGGAGGCAGGTTGGCCATAGTCGATTTTGAAGTTACCCTTATTAAAAAAACTGAAGAAACTAGTCAGTATGAATAATTAATTGCTGTACAGTTAGGAGACCAAGTAAGTTCCCAAGAGAGGGGTTCACCTTGAATTTAACCAAACATTTTATTCAACTGGAATGGTGTCAAACAACATCTTCATTTTTTTGTTTTGATAAGCATTTTTACGGGGCTCGCAACTGCATAAGGTCATACGAGCGCGCAGGACACATTAAACAGTTTCAGGAGGTAGGAAATTTTGAATTTTGTCTGGGTGGCGGCAGAAGCCTACTCTTATCGATTTTGGACCATCAAGGGATCTTTAATGCGTGCAATTTGCACGTGAGACCTCCAAGATTTTTCTCCCTTGTCCAAGTCAGCTAGATGTAGATCTTTCTTACCATAGTATCAGGGGTGTGGCTGAAAGACAGAAGTAAGAAAGAGCCAAGGAGAAGCAGTACAAAGGCTGCAGAAAGAGTCAGGAGCCCTGAGGAGGGGTGCAAAGTAGATGAGAGGGTGGGGGCAGAAAGTGAAAACAGCATCTTCCATATGATTTCCACTATTTGTGAAGCAAAGGTCAGAGCTCTTTTTGAGATACACTAGAGCCTTGTGGCTTCAGAGGCTTAGTTTAAGCACTTGAACTTGCAACCATAAGGCCATGGGTTCGAATCATGTCAGAGGCCTGATGCTGTGTCTTATTGAAAAGCACTTTCATGAATATTCCTCATTTCACCCAGGTGAAAATGGGTACCCGGTTACGGAATGGAAAAGATGTCAGTTTATTAGTGTTTGAGCGCTTAATCAGCTTGTATGCTACCTGGGAAGACAAAAATTTTTCTGAGTGTTTTAGGGTTTGCTGGTGATAATAATATAGCGGAAAAGGCATAGAACATGCTGTCAAGCACTATACAAATGCCATTTATTATTATTATCATACTAACAAGAGGCAAAAACTAAAGAGATTTCCTTTGTGTCAAGACTTTGCGGACAACCTGAAGATCCACCCTGGCTAATCGAGATTACAAGCTTATACATGTACGTGCAGCGTGCACACACCATTGTAACTTGTTTTCTAAACATAGAGCTATTGGGGGAAAGTCCATTTTCTGTAATCTACATCATAGATATTGCTATACTTTCTCCTCCTGTACAAAATATTGGGACAGCAGTTAAAGACCTCTGTATTTCTTAACTCTTTCCGGGTGTAGTTGTTTTGAGCTCTAGACGTTATTAACTTGTGACTCGATTCGGCTACACAGGTGAGGTACAAAATAACTTCATATAAGCATAACCATCACTCAAAACGTAACACATGATATATCAAATTGAAGGAAATTAAATAAGGAATACATTCCAACATGAAACAAGGGATAATTTTGAACATAAGTAATCATTACAAAGGTTAGAAATGGTGATTGTGGTGAGAAAAATAAGTTTTGACGGAAAAAATTACACACACTAAACATGTGAAAGCGAATCAGCATAGTTATCTTATCATATACAGGCCAAGAGCAGACGCCATAAATTTCTGAATGTGCAGCTTTTTATTTGAATGCAATATTCCAATTTTTGTTTGAGTTATGATATTTATACGGAGTCCGGTTAGATCGTTTTTGCGAGGCAAGACCACAAGAACCAATTCACTTGTTTTTCGCCAGACCGACGCTTTGACAAAGTGAAACTAGACGTTTTCGTTTCCTAAACCCATTTCAAGTTTTCAATAACAATAAAAGGTACTTATAAATAATGGATCATGTTAAAACGAAACAAAACTGAGGCACTCCATCATAGCCGATATATCGGCGATACGTCCGCAAAGGGTGTGGACTCGCACCGATATATCGGCGATATGTCCGGAAAGAGTTAAGAGAAGGCAATGAGGCTATTTTTCTGACTTTAAAAAATCATTGCCATTCTGTGACTGTCAAAATTATGTTAGTGTTTTATTCAATTTGGAATAGCCCTTAAAATTGTTTTTTGTCTATTGATGTCAAAATCAAGACATTACATTTCAAATAATGGATATTTTTAGGTTGTCACTAAATGTTATTAATATTCTGGAAACCCATTCAGATCAACACTGCCCCCCCCCAAAAAACCCCCCCCACAACAACCCGCAAACAAACCTGAAATAAAAAAACTCCAAAACACAAAAAAACCTACAAACCCAACTCCGTCGGCAGAGTACAGTGACTTTTGAGCAATTTTGAGCTAAAAAGCCTGCTACAGTTCCATATTCACTTTTAAAAATTCAAACGTGCCATGACCAGACTGACAATTACGTCAGAATGTCAAACCCCCCCCCCCCCAAACACACACAAACATACAAACATACCCACCCACACACACTCCCCCAAACAACTGTTGTAAGAATCAAACCAGTGGGTGAATGAACACAGTAAATCTTGCTTTAATTGCCACCCATCCAAGACAATTAGGTGTATAAATGACCACTTATCCCCTTGTGCTCCTTAAAAGTATTTTAATGACATTGTCCCAAAGTCCACCTGCTTAAGACAACCACTTTTCTCCCCGACAACGGATGGCCCTTTTCAACAATTTCCATTGCAGCTTTGCTGAATTTCTCAAAACATCAACGAAGGACAAGGGTGGAATAAAGGGTAAAAGACTACTTACATAATTCAAAAATTTACTGTCTTTGGTAGCCCAGCCAATCTGCATGACTCCATCTGTCACTATGGTAACTTCATAGTACCAGACCCCGGAGTCCACTTGGAACGTACACCGCACACTTTCAAACGAGGAAGCATCACAGCGTGCCTGCAGATAGAACACATTAAGTATTAATAGCTACAGCTATTTATTGGTCCTCGTTTAGGTTAAACGCCCCTGTCAACACTGCATGGAAATCGAACAGATGGAATCTCCGATTTTAATGTCTACCAAAAACCACCCCTCCAAAACCCCCTAATTTTATTGACACGTGTAGGGACACTGACTTTGCAAGGGCATGCATATACTAAATGGCACACTGCATCATATCAATGCATTAGAAATGATTTGATACATCTGCATATAATGCATATGCAGAGATGCAAATGACAGAAAACCGAAATGAGTATTGGGAAATATGAAAATATGTATTTTCAGAGGGGAAAATGAGTATTCCTCACGACTGACCAACCAACTCGTAAAATGTTCAGGGTGTCCAGCAATATTTCCTGAAAAATACACCAGCTCTCCCGCTTGAAAAAGGGAGCACACACAGATATAATATACAGCCAGTCAACAACATGTCAGTGTTCAGTGTCGCACTGGGGTTTTGTTTGACTTAAGTATTTCAGTCTGTTGTAATATTTTCCTCTCATTATTATATAAAAAATTAATCCTGTTTTGAGCGTTCGGAAGGGCCTAGAACAAGAATTTCAACTATATTTCGACTATCAAGAACCAGTCTGGGTGTCATGATTCATATTATGAACTGACAGACTAAAATTATGGCTCAAACTCAAAGAAGAGGAATAACTTGAAAGGCTCAAGTAGACCCATGCACTGTGAGAGTTGTAACAACTGCGGGAGGGCAAGATGCAGTGACACTGAAAATCTGCTAGTCTTGAACAGAGAGCTAAAACACACACTGAAGGTATAATTGACTATCACCCATCCAATGAAACGCAAACACTTTATTTCAATAACACAGACTTGCAAAGTCTGAAGGGTCCCGATTCCGCACACGGCCTGCACCAATGCGCGCTTTGCAGAGAGCTCTAATCAAAATTCTGAAATTTGCTTCCACGTTTTTGTCCTCTGGTGTTGCCCCTCCCTTATTATATTTTTTTCCCCCAAAAGTGACAAAACAGCGACGAGTGAGTATTTATTACATTTTATTTGCACGGCAACACAGCGTCTTTATACAGAACAACCTGCAAGTCACAAATGTTGCGTTATCAGTCTATCGCCGGGAAATTTCTGGGTGGTAACGAAAGCGAAGGTAGATCTTGATTTTCCCGATCGACCCTCGGTGTCACATACACTTCCGCCTGCCGCCTGTTCGCGTGAAAGTGAAACGTAGGCTACTCTCGGACAGGGAAAAGCTGACCGAAAATATCACAATCATGACAAGCAAAAATGAACTTACTGACCTTATCGGACATGGTTTTCAAATATTCCAGTTCCACGATACTGATACTATTTTGACAAAAGATGGGACTTGAGATAATTAGGTTTACTCGCCCAAGCTGAATCTCGTATTTTTCGCATTCCAGGATGCATATTTTTTCATGAAAAGTCGTATTCGCGTATTTTCGGCAAAAAAACCGTACTAAAATACGTAAAATCGTACTGGTTGGCATCTCTTCATATGAAGAATATAGTTCAAAAGACCCTCACAACGTAATCCATTTTCCCCACAACATCTTGAATATTAGACCTGCATGTGAGCCTCATCCAGATTGTCTGAAAATTTTGCGCAACCCCCCCCCCCCCAAAAAAAGAGCTTTTGTGGGTGTCACAAGGAAGGACTTCCGAGTAACGAGCGACCACCTCAACAAACACAACAAAGAAGAGACCTAACCCTACCCCTACCCCAAAAAAGAACCTGCAATGAGCCTCATGTGAAAAGGCCAGCAAAAGTCCAAAATGAAAAAAAAATTTTAAATTAAAAAACCACACTCCAAAACAAACAAGGCTTACAAGGAGCATAATATAATGGCCTACATCTACATATATTGCTAGATCTATAATAATAGGGTTTGATACAATAACACAATAGAATTGGAATATGAATCCTCCATATATAGATCTAGTAAACTAAATAAATCTAGATCTAGATCTTGTAGAACAAGTGAATAGGATCTAGGAATAGGCCTTGAACTAGAAATCCGCATCCGATTCCGAACAGAGGGGCTCAGCTGAGTCTAAATCTAGATTCTAAATAAATAAATAATTCACGCACCTGATGAAATGCTTTTTACCAACATTAATATTACAGCACAACCTATGATAGGGTTTGACAAAATAGAATTGGAATATGAATCCTCCATTGAGGTCTATAATGATCTAGATTCTATTATCTAAGTGAGTCGGACTGGAATGAATCCACACGATCTGAACAATTGAATTTGTCAACAAAACGAAATTCAAAATGGCCGCTCGAGCAAGAAACTGAAAGTAGATAATTTAGGTCGTCGTCCTTTTTCGTATTCGCATTTCTACTCAGGTTCCGACATTTATGTCGGAAACGCCGACGTCGGCAGTCGGCACGAAAACGAAAGTGCCGACAAAGCCGACGGGAAAAAAGGGGGACGCTGGCAGTCGGCCAGGCCTCGCACTTCGCAAGTTGACTGATACAGGTGGGCCTAGCGATAGCATCGGCCGCCTCGCGGGTCGCGTCGCGATTGTCGGATTTCAGACGATTGTCGGCAAACATGCAGGTCTAGAATATATCTAATGTAAAAAATTCAATAACACTTTAATAAAAACAAATTTTATCAGGAAGACGTTATAATATCATCATGCATAGGATGCTTCGAATTCAAAATACTTACCTCCAAACCATCAGCAGAAATTTTCAAATATTCACTGACATCGTTGCTATTCAGCATAACATTGAGATGAGACCTGTCTAGCTGCTCATAAGAAAACGGTCGTCCCTGAAAAGCAGACAGAACAAGAAGAGCACATATTAGCCTAAAATAGGTCCAAACGGTAGAGCACTGTTTCTCAAAACAAAGTTGGCCCTCAGGATTGCAGTGTTGGCTTATGATCTTCACTTTCGTATCATTCTAAACTTTTGAATTTTTCACACATTTGGGAGTCAACAAGAAGCAACAGACCTACTCAAGAAAGGAATTTTGCTTTGAAAACTATGTGAATCCACATTTCTTCACTACATATCTAGAGTTCCAGAAATAATATAGAAGTCATATTGTAAAAATGGTTCTCCCCACATGGAAATTTTCATATGAATAAAGGGAGGTAACAATGAGCTACAATACAGATGAGGATAATAAAAATAAAACATTTTTGAGCTGTTACAACGAAAAAGTTAATGGGCATAACCTTTTGCCATGGCAACATATTTACAGAAAAATGATATAACTCGTTAAACCATAGCATCTTATAGCTTTAAAAATGCCATAGGGGAAAAATTAACAAATGGCAGAGTGCATTATAAGAAACTGAAACAAATACTTTCAACACAGTACAGGACAGCCCCCCACACCCACTCCACAGTGAAACTGATTATGGAAAATTAAAGTTGCTCACCTCTTTTATAACTGTGAAAGTACATGTTGGCATCACATGAAAAAGAAAACAAATTAATGTAAATAAATCTAGCAGCATACATTTATAAAAAAAAAAAGAAAGAAAAACTACTCGTAGATTTTCTGGTAAAACCAAGGCCCATATCCCAATTTTTCAAACAACAAATGTGAGGAGAGCTGACAAAATTAGTTACTTTTTGCAATCCTCAATTGGAGATATCGGCCGAAAATCGATATAAAGGTTAAATTGGTTTTAACATGTCTTTTATCATTTCATATTAATAAATTAATAGTACAAACTTGATCTATAAACTTGACACATCGGTGTGATAGGGTTAAAATCTGATAGGTAACTAATTTTGTCAGCACGTCCTACAAATACTAATTCTTGAATCCTCCATTCTAAAATTGAAAATCAAAACAAACAATGTGCATTGGTCACTGAAGATTTTGCTAAACCATCTTCACATGGACAGGTCAAACTGTAATGGCCTTATGTGAATGACAGAAAAAAACCACCCATTTCCATGATGGAGTGAATTTAGGCTATTTTAAAAACAAAGCACTTGGTCATCTGTGTAAACTCCAGGTAAAAAGAGAAATTTCAAAATGGCAAGATAAAATTCCCGCTTGTTTTTGAAACCCAACTAATCCTACCACATGTCAGCCAACATTTTTTATCAACTGCCACACAGAAGCCAGTCTTTCAAGATAATTTACTGGAACCCGAATTACTCACGAGAATAAATAATAAAAATCGTCAAGATGGCCACCCACTGTCGAGGAAAAAAGTGGCTGTTTTAGATAAGCGGATGTGATGCACAGCATCATTATAATGTAAAAAAAAAAATGTAAGGGAGGAAATGGGAAGTGGCTGTTAATACATGTTGTCGTCTTATACTGGTGGCCATTTGGGCAAGTTCGACGGTTCTTCAAATGTAAAAGATAGTGAACAGGTAGGAAACTCCCCTGCAAAAAAATACAGCTCTTTTGATTAGTCTCCATGCCAGCTGTCCATTCCATGAGCTGTTCTACATGCTTTGACAACCTTTTTACCCATAAGTTTTACATAAGCGCTCTTACATAAGTTATCAAGGCACCATCCAGCACAAAACCCGACCTCCCTGCGACTGTAGCTGAGGGGCGTGTTGTCATTGTTCCGCTGGTACCAATCCTCCAGGAGGGTCATGGGGTGCACTTCGCACTGCTGCAGGGCCTGAGTTATGCGCATTTTGTTTTCACCTGGAGAGACAAAGTAGAAATTCCAGTTGATAATTTACACAGAATAGGAAGAAAAAATCAACGGGGCAAAAGAAGAGATTTTTAAAATGAAGTCAGAAAGGTCTCATTTTTCAAAACCGTTCTATTTATTGTAATCAATAATAAACTTACTGCTACATAATTTATCAATTCAATCTATTAGTGAAATTATTAATAAACCAACTGCTATAATAGTAACCGACAAACACAAAACCAATTAAAAGCAAACTGCTACAAAATTGACGTATTCATTCTACAAAAGTATTTTATAACTTAAATGTTTTTTTTTTTACTAGAGCTGTTACATTAAATCTTATTCAGCTCAACATAACCTTTTCCCCCCCCCCCCCTCCGGGCGGTGCTACAGACTGAAGTGTCTTTAGGCCATTCACAAAGGGGGACATTAATATGTTCTTAAGCACAGTAGAATTGTAATCGTAAATGGGTTGATTCATCAATGTCATACTCATAACTGTGCCTGAACTGCAACAGGGAACTGCTGCTTTTCCTTTCCTAATCATTACTATTGTCATTTTTCCTCTATGTCTTTTGTACGTTTGTCACACTCTTGTGACCCGCTATTTCCGGGGTGCCTTGATAGTCGAAGCAGACTTTGTGCTGTTGAAGCTAGAGAGGTGAGTAGAGTAAGTCTGATTCTCTGTTGACATCCACCCCTTGACGCTCATATGACCTTATGCAGTTGCGAGCACTGTAAAACCTCTACTAAAACAAAACAAAAATTTTTTTGAGTACTTGCTCCAGTTTTCCTCTTTATTTTGCTTGTTCTGGTCATTTAAAAAATAACTTCATACACCAGTGAGTGACCCTTTCCCTTGTTGAATTCATCCTTTTCAGTAATTTGTCTTACAATAGCAACTAAACAAAGGCAAAAGAAATCCCAATCAGATTAAAAATACAAAAGAACAAGAAATAAAAAACTGGGGACAGATACAAGAAACATACAAGTATTGTCACTTCACAATTTAGGTACATTTTCATGAACGACTCAACAAAACAAGTAACAAATATGTGTCAAAACCAAAAAGAAAAATCAAAACCAAGGTACTTACTAGTCTGAGCAAATTTTTCTAAAGCAACCATAGAGTGAAGTATAACTATTGGGTGGTTTGTAGGTTTCTGAAAAGAAATATAGTATCAATTTTCAGTAATTCATGAGGGCGAAGAAGAAATATATTCACAACAGCTTTCTATTCATAGAGAAATAAAACATTGCAAAAAAGCATGAAAATTTTACCTCAAAAGTTGTATAATAATACAAAAGAATTTTACATCAATCCTAAAAGGGTAGCTGCATTCACAGAGAATATCTCTGAATTGCTGAGCTTCTACAAAACAGAAAGAATATCTGCAATGAATTCATTCACAAAAAGTGGCCTGCCGCGGCACAGAATCAGACTGCTTGCCAATGCTCATCTGGCCAGAAACTCATGTAAGGGGGCATAATTAAAAATTTGAATTTGAAAAACAAAAAACAACCCCCCCCCAAAAAAACCCCCCCAAATAAACAAACAAACAAACAAAGAAAATCTCAGTACTCAAACTGGAAATAATACCCCACCCACCCACACACACCTTCTAAAAACTGTTCATTGACCCTCCCAAAAAAAGACAAAGACAAATCATTTACATAGGCTTTCTGTCCGCATACTCCTCCGAGGAAATCAACATCTAACATATGACTCAGTGACTATTTACTTGACCAAATATAATATGAATGACAAGCATATAAAAACAAACTTACCAAATGATCTATTAAATAATTTAAAATGTCTGTCGTTAACAATGATATGCTGTTGGGACCTGAAATGAAGAGAAAATAAGATAATGAAAAAATCAGTAACTGTAACGCAGCAGCATCAAATGAGGATAAAACACACATTTACAAATGAGATGAAAAATATGTACGCACCTTTTTGTTTTGGATAAATTTAACATCCTTCCACATCTGCCAAAGTTCAGTGAGATGTTCATCTAACAGTGCAGTTAGTTTTTACATACATGACCATTTTACCCTCAGAGAATGTAGAAAAATTCCTTGCCTGTCAGGCAGCCATGTCTTCAAGAGTCTCTTAGTATTTATATAGAAGGTATACATTTTTGAAAGTACTCTTTATAATATTTAGTTGCCCAGACGTCGTACTTTGGGGCTCTTTTCAATTTTAAAACCACCAAGGGGCCGTTAATGTGGGAAATGTTCACCCTGGGCTTCTGCAATTTTCCATCTTTATCCGAGAATAGGTGCTTGATCCTACCTACCCTAGCATCAGAGAGGGTACAAAACATAAGAAAAAAACAGATACCGGTGGGAAAAAAACACTGGACCTCTGGGCTAACAGGCAAACACTAAGACCCCAGAAAGGAAGTTCACATCTCTATGTTGGTGAGGCAGTACATGATTTCAAATCCTCATCCAACCTGCAGATTACAATGGTAATAAAGCAAGGTTACAAAACTTCAACATAGCACTAACCTGCCAATTTCTCTGCCAGACAGCCGAGGAGAACACATATATTGCGCTGCTGGCAAGGCCTTCCGTAGGTTTCAACCACTTCCATCTCTTTAAAGTTCAGGTGGTTCTTAAGTTCGAGGAGGGCATCCTGTTGAGAAACACAACACCGCTAGTTCAACGTCTTGTAAAGAGTAGCAAAATGCACATTACAAAAATACCACTGCTAAAATCCAAGAAACCAGAAATCATAATCTTTAACCACTTGAATGCTCATTTTGACTGCTCAGTGGAAAACTCTGTCATATGTCACTTTTCAAAATGGTGTAAGGCAGAGTCTTACACTAAGCTGTGGATTTCATCATGATGTCAACGCAGCAGTGCTGAGGTTAAGCCATTAAATTACCGCTGCTTACCCATTTTTGGTGATTTTTAAGGATGGGTCAACAAAGGAAATAGATGGGAGAAAATGAGTGGGACTACATACCCGCCCCCTCCCCCCCCCCCCCCCCCCAAAAAAAAAAGCTTCCCCTAAAACTTCACACAAAAGTGCAAAACTACTGAAGATGCTCTCTTCACTGTAGGGCAAAAACAAACGAAGACTAAAGAATTTGGGGCAACATTTCCTGTCAAACCATAAGGAAGGACCTTGCGCATTTTCCCATACACAAAGCTGCTATAGATAGATAAAACTTTTGCCTACAGGAGACAAAAATAAACCTGTGCTGCTTAAAACTGCATAAACAAAACATAACTGTTTCTTCATGATGGTAAAAAGGATGACACAGGAAGACAAGTTCCATCATCTCCAGGAGCAGACTCAAGAGCATAGAGCAGTGTATAAAGGAGAAGTCAAAGACTTTTGATTGCCTAATCATATAACATGATGCACTTCAGGTGTACTTCTATAATAATAATGAAGATCATTTCTTTAGCGCCCACTCCCGTGTAAACACAGCTCTAGGCGCTTTACATAAATGCATGTAAGAAAAATATTCATGCACGCGACACACACACACACTCATATACACACAAACACACACATATATACACATACACACACACAAACACACGCATACACACTCACGAACACATAACATGCACACATGTGCACACACATGTATGCCAAACACACACACACTCACACACACACACACACACGTACACACACACACACACACACACATTTACTTGCTTATCACCCTCACACGATTACACATCGTCACGAAATGAGAATAAAATAATATATACACTGCAATTCACCAAATACATAAATGGATACATAGACATTTACATAACATTGTATTGAACATGAATCTACCGACTTAAAAAGGATGTAATTAAATGTGTCCTTAAAGGTGTCCTTGTACTACAGAAGCAAATTAGGCAATACAGAAACCTTCTCAAACTCCAATATATAACAATAATGAAGAGATACAACGCTTTTAAACCTCTTGTCAAATAATCTTTCCCAGAGTTGGACACTGAACAGCTGACAGCATCAATAGACTAGAGTGAACAGAGGACATTTTGAGAAGATTTTCTGTATTTCCACTAAATCTATACTATACCTTTGTGGGCAGGGGGCATTCATCTAACAATAGAGCAATGACAGCTGGCCCCAAAGGATCCTCCATGGGAATGACTCGTATAAGGGATTTCACCACATTCAGCCAGCCCTGATCACAGTCTGCTATCTCATGAAGGATCAACATGGCCAGAGGCGGTTCTTGAGCACTGCGGATAACAAGAACAATACAAATTTAGTAGAAAAAAGATCACCGCCATCATAAGTTTCGATCTCTGCCGAAATGATTGTATTTGGGAGCAAACACAGTGACTTGAAAAAAAAAGAAAAAAGAAAAAACTTGCCTATCACTCATAGATTTAGAAAAGCTTTGAAAGACCAACTACAATATACGTGTGACACTGCCATTCTCATACATTTACGGCAGTGTAACCATGACTACCTGACCTCCGAAGAATACCCCCTTCCCCCTACTCATCTCTACCCTCTTCTAAGTACAGCTGGTCGAAATCATTTTTTTTGCCAGATCTTGAACTAATTAACGCACCTATCTCAACTGTAAAAGTAGAAAAAGCAACTGTAGCCAATAAAGGTGTCCACATTCTCTAAGTCGACAAATATGTTGTGCTACTGCTGTGACGAGAGAAAACTTCAACCATTCCAAAACACTTTATTTCAAATTGGAAATTATGGATTCTAACTCAAAGAAGACATTTCATGGGGGCTCAGAAGCTCAACAAGTATGATATTTGCCTGTCAACTAAGATTTCGATCCCCGCCAGATTTGCATTATTTTTCAGTCGGATCAGGCACCCCGTCTTCTTAAGTTAGGATGAAGAATTTTGGAGGTCCTGAGTGAAGTTTCTCATATAAAGGATCCTTTGGCGGTTCTAAAATCATTTTTTGGGGGTAAGTGTTTTACGGCGCTCACAACTGCATAAGGCCATATGAGCGTATGGGACACATTAAACTCTTTTACTTTGGTAGGAATTTTTAATTTTGCCTGGGTGGTGGCCGAAGCCAACTCTTATCAATTTTTGCACCAACAAGGGATCTTAAATGAGCGCAACTTGCACACAGGACCTCCAAGATTTTTTGGCCATTATCCCAGAGGACTAGGAGTAGATCTTACCTACTATAAGATCAAGGGTGTGGCTGGAAGACAGCAGTAAAAAGGAATCAAGTAGTAGCAGTAGAAATGCAGCAGAAAGAGTCATGAGCCAAGAGGAGGGAGCAAAAGAGGTGAGGAGGTAGGGGCAGAAGGTGGAGATGAAAGCAGATGACACAACTGTTAGAAAGCAGGAAAGGAAGTGAAAGGAGAAAATTCTACAGAAGAAAATTTTCCATCAGTCCGGATTCGAACCCAGGACTTATTAAATGAGAAGCAAACATCGCAACCTCACGACTACGAGAGCCCCCTTCCTAAAATCTAAAACTGTAGGCCCTTTGAGTTGCCATTTGGGCAAAACTCAAAATTAATTTTTACCCAAAACTGAAGCTCTTCTAGTCAGTATAAATATTAAAAGAAACTCTTGAAGACATGGCTGCCTGTCTGTCAGGCAAGGGATAATTCTACATTCTAAGTAGGTAGATAAAACAGCTGTGTATGTTAGATCAAATGCACTGTGAGATGACTATCTGACAATTACTCCCTGAGCGCTTCGAAGGGTATGAGAAAAAGAAAAAATCTTATTGCTTCGACTTTAGCAAAAACAAGGCACACCAAATCCCAGCAAAGGCATGTGACCACTTTTGACGACAAACACACTGAAAGCTGTATAAAAAAAAAGCAATTGCTCACTTATCCACCAAAGTCCGGATCACAAACAGGGTCTCTAACACCAAGCGATCAACATCTTCCTTTTCTGTCTCTCTGCGACGTCTGTGAGACCCATGGTGTTGCCTCTGGAGAAAAAACCCCAAAAGAGTCCAAATTAGAAGACAAGGCATTCTGGTTCTCTCAGCATCATAGACACTCCAAAATAACCATTCAAAACCCATACCCATTTATATTTATAATATATATATATTACACAAACATTCATCCACCCTGCAGTCTGAAAGAGCAGAATATAGGAACATGTGTTGTAAAATTTTTCTCATTATCAGACTGTGCGAAGGTTTTGACTCTTTAGATCCATTGTTTATAAAGGCTTTATCTGTAAAGGTAATTAGATCGTTTTCCTAATCTTGTATTTAAAAAAAAATGAAACAGCCATCATATCTATTCTTAGGCACAAAAACAATTTGAAGAGATTTTACTTTACCATTTCTTTTTTTTTCATTAACCCTTACAGCAGCTGTAAAAAAAATTATTACCTCTCTATATATATTTGTTGGAAGACAGGGTTGTTTTTTTTTTTTGCGAACTCTTCATTTATTTGTTTTAAAAGATACACTTATTAAACGTGTACTGTTTCTGTTCAGTTGAATGAAGCCTTAATCTGTGCCATGTTTTCATCACACTTGAGGAGAGTTTGTTAACAGCTTCAGCAAAGGGTTTATACAATCAATACTGTAGAAAACAGGGGGTCAGCAATGAAACTCATAAACAAACACCTGAATTAAAGCTCTGAAAGGCTCATAAGTACACTTGGAGGTAGCAAAGAGAGTATTCATGAAACACAGACATAAAAGTAAACAAAAAGCACACAATATGACAAGTTAAATTGACAAGGAGACCAGATAGATCCTAACAAAATAAAAAAACAAACAACATTTATCACGAAAGTAAGCTAAATTTAGATCTACTATTATCTAGATGAATGAAAGCTAAGATTAAGACTTGTGCAATGAAGATATGGTATCATGATGGGCAGATCTAAATTTCTCGTCAACAAAGAGGACATCTCCCTAGATTGAGATAAACTTGCAATATCAAAGAGTAAAAATATTCAGTTATGAGGAGGATGACAGCTAAGATGAGAATCTTAAGCCTTTAAAATGTCCTGCATTATAAAATTGACGATAGAGGTTCTGAAAACATTCAAGTGAGTTTAGTCTTAGTGTGCAACACAATTAGGTCATATCAGTGGCAAAAATTAAAGGTGTTACAAGAGAGTAATAAATACAAAAAAGAAGGAGGGATACGAACTGTAGATGTTTGGTAGGAAAGAAGGAACAAACCACACCAGAGCACCTGCTAACCACCCACCAAGTGACTCTAATCCTGTAGCTGAGAGTGAGAAGGAGTTAGACTCGCAAACAGAAACATAGCAATCTTTTTTCTTTCTAAATCTAAAAGTATCCAAGCTAAAATCAATAAAATGTTCGACTTTGAAAGCTGAACTTATTCTACTACTCGCAGTACAGAATTGAATTGCACTCTCGACGTATAGTCAATTTTCTTCCCACTTCAGATACCAACCGTAACTGATTCGCTACTACTGATGAGAATTCTCGCATTCCGATTTTCCGTCCATGTGTGGTTGACGAGAATTCTTGTAAACCCACCCTTGTCTCTATATGAAGCTGAATTAAAAGTTGGTGTCTCGCTCAGCCTTTATAACTAAAGGGAGAGCACTCTCTATATGTTTAGCTTCCTTCTTGGTGTTCCTTTCTTTGTAAAGAGTGGGAGTTTGCTTTGTGGTGTGTGTTTTTTTTACAGTAAGCTTTGGTCAAAGTTTGTTCTTTTCACAAAGGCCACCAGTTGTGGAAAATGAAAGATCACTGTCCCAAAATGATTGACTGATCAAGAAGATGCACAATTGTCATTGGATTCTGGTGAAGATGAAAATGTACAGCAGTCTAGCCTATACAGCCGAACCTGTGAAAGACGGAATCGCAAGGGAGCCAGAAAAAAATTCTGTCTTAGACATTTTCCGTCTTAGACAGGGGAATTTAGGGGAGATGGA